TTTAGAAATCCTAAATGGAAATCTGTCACTAATGTTAAGAATTTATTTAGGTTGAGGACATTGTCATGGTTTCACAATAGGAGTAAAGTTTGTTGTTTTTTTTTTTTAACTGACCCTCTCCATTCTTGTATTCATAGAAGAAAAAGAAAAAGAAAAAGAAGAAAGATGTCAACAGCCACTCTGACCTGTCACATGTCTCTCTGGGAGACGGCAAGGGCAAGAGGACGCAGGGTGAAAGAGACTCTTCTGACAGTGAAGGCTCAGATAATGCAATGGAAGATACATCAGACTCACTCCAGGATGGATTCTCCTCACTGGAGAGCCAGCCTAGTTCCTCAGCACCTCACAGTACTGCTGTGCTCTCTGAAGACACACAAGTCAGTCAGAGTGAAAAGACTGCTGCAACAGTAGAGGGAAGTACAGTGAAGCAGTCTGACGAACTTCCAGGTAAACCTGATGAGGGAGAGAGCAATGAACAGAAATCAAATCAAGATCAGACACTCAAGACACCACCAGCTGACACTCCGACTCCGCATCTCGTCACAGAAGAGAGCAAGAGTACAACTTCTCAGCCAGGTTCATGTACAGAGACAAAGGCCGATAACCTTAGTGATCTAAAGACTGACACAAAGAAGAAGAAAGGGACCACTAAACAACCAACAGTGGACCACAATGACACAAAAGACTCAAAGAACAAGAAAGACACCACTAAACAACCAACAGTGGACCAGAATGCCAATGTGGAACCAAATCCGAAACAGACAGGACAAACGAAACAGAAGGGGAAAAGTCAGCAGGACCAGAAACGGAAACACCAGGTGGTTTGTGACAGTCAGACATCATCAAAGGTAATGCTAACTAAAATTTATGGAGAGTAATCACTGATGACAGAAGTGGTTTTTGCTCTTAGTGTAAGCATCATTCTTTAAGGTGTATATTTAGCTTATATATTTACTTCTACTTGTACAGGCTGCCAGCACAGGCACCAGTGTGGACCCGCAAGAGCAGCAGTCTGAGAGCGGGCAGGAATCGACTTCAGCAGAAACCTCAGATGGTGATGAGGAAAGTAAACCTGGCAATAAGGATGACACAAATGCCAACGTCCCAGCTGGCCCGCCACCCAAAAGGTGAAGAAGTTCTCTGAGACGGTTTTACGTATTTGCTTTAGATTATCGTTGCCAGTCTGAAAGTTACATTTGCTGTTTCTTTATACATCTGATTTTGTTTTTCAGGTCTACCAGGAGCCAGACCATTGCTGCATGTGACAGACTCACAATTTACTTCCATGCTGTTCTCTCAAAGGATTTCAAATTTGATCAAAATGAAGATCGTATCTTTGTCAGGGCTGGGCTCTGCATTGGGACGTGGGAAGACAATGCAGTTGAGCTGTCAGTGATCAGGTACTTAATAACATACAGTATATTTAAAATCTACATCTCCATGTCCAGGGTTAAGCTGCTTCCCTAGTGGCAGAGGAGGAATGAGGAATGACTGTGGCCTTTAATGTGTGCAGGGGCAAACTGGGCTGTTCTTAATATCATATATCACTTAACACCACTTGCATTTGAATTTGTTTTCCTTTTCACATAGGGATCTTGGAGAACATGGGTTCCTGGTTGAAGGCAGTCTGGTGACAAACAAAAATAATACCATATCTACGTCGATACCATACAAATATGTTGTTTATAGGAAAAAAAAGAAAAAATATGAGTATGAGTACATATACAAACTGGACTCTGGAAACCACACTACCAACAGATGTTTGTTTGTGAAACCCCGCTTCCTCAATGATGATGGTAAATGTAACCTTGGCTTGGTCCACCTTTAATTATATTTGCTTATTTGTTAATGTAATCTAATTACTATTGTATACTCTATTTACATTACACAGAGTTAAATTTTTTGTATCTTTTTTGTGAAAGGGGACTGGCATCAATATGACGACATCATCTGTGCTGAGCCATCAAAGAACATCATTAAACGCTTTACAGACAAAATTTGGCCTGACCAAAGGAAGAGTCTAATTCAAGGCCGAGAGATTGCAGGGAAAATAATGCTGGAGACCATATTTGATCTTCTCAGAAGCTGGACTGATACCAATTTGAGAAGTTTTATATTTCAACTGAATCAGTTCTTTGAGGTTTATGGGGAACCTTATGTATATGAAGAGAAAGAAAAGAAATGGCACTCCTTAGACTATGGGCCAAAAGATGTAAGTTCACAATATGTGTGTGCAAAGTCCAGATGCATCCAGGTGTGGCCAGTGCAACTTATCATCTCTGTGTCTGTGGCATTATTTCCTAGGTGGGGAAGATGCTGAAAGAGTTCATGCTGAACTATGTGATTCCTCAGTTGCAGAAGGATGGAGATGGGAAGAGTCACTACATTCAGGACCCTATGAGAGCAGCTGTAATTATGCTCTGTGTACGGAAACAGCATCAGTTAAATCTGGATAAGGCTGAGCTCCATCGGCTCTGCAGTGCACTATGTTTACCCAAACTAGACAGAGATGGTTTTCTTCAGTACTGGGCAGATTTTTCTCAGCATGTCAGTGTTTTCAAAGAGTAGGTATCTAATCTTCAATAATCCTTAATTATATATTTTATAAATACTTTGAAATGACAGTTATAGTCTGCTAAGTTACAGTAGGAATAGCAACGTACTGTTGCTGGATTAACCATTATATTCTATTAATCTTTTGTCCAAATGCTCAGTTCAGTTGTCTTTGTTGTAGTTTGCCAGGAATGTTGGCAGACCTGATAATCGTTGTGAAAAAAGAGGGGATGCCCCGATGGATTCTGGTGCTCCCACTGCTCCACCTCCTCAGAGGCACCATAAAACCCTTTGAGGTACCAACTTCAGGAAACCTGAAGTACGGCTTGTCCTGGGCAGGTTTACAAGGCCTTGACATGGGTTCCCCACAATACATGAACAGTCAAGACAAAAAGTAAGAGTCCTTCTACTTTTGCCAAAGTATAGCTCACACAGACATCATACACTGCATTTTTT